TCTCTCTCTCTCTCTCTCTCTCTCTCTCTCTCTCTCTCTCTCTCTCTCTCTCTCTCTCTCTCTCTCTCTCTCTCTCTCTCTCTGTGTGTGTGTATGTGTGTTTGTTTGTGTGTGTGTCTCTCTGCCCCTTGTGCGCACGCGCTTTCTGCGAGTGTTTGCGATTGACACACCACGCAACATGGCAATGGCGTAGGCTTTACTCACAAGATCCCTAACAGTCGTGACGTCCGGCCCTCCAAGCTCGTAAATCTTTCCAAGACTTTGCCCATCGTCCCTGATTGCGGCCATAACTGCACCTGCAACATCTACCACATGAACCGGCTGCAACCTGCCAATCGAAACGTCATCCGACGATCAGACAACCTCAACAACCTCCTTTACAGGCCTGTCTATAACACAGGCAAGCACCAAGTTTGAACACGCCTGGAAATCTTGGATCAATCGCTGGCATACATCTTAACCATTACTGGCGGGTAACGGATAAGATGTCAACAGCTTATCTGTCTTTGAAGTATGAACAAAGTTCGACAACCGCATGCAATGGACGAACAAAAGAACGTCACTTCCTTCTGATCATCACAGGGTAAGGCTCTCAATGAAACAGAGAAGGAAGAGAGACGTCGCAAATTACTAGACGAACAAACGCAGGCACCACGTGTTGTCACAAGACTCGCAACTAAGGAAAAAGATTTCTCGGTGGAAAACAGAAACAATTTCACAAAGTCTCAAAGTAATTGTCATCAAGAAGAAGCTGAGTCTGGATTCCGCAACGGAGTACGATGAACTACGCAGGTACCCGGATCAACTATGCGATTCACTCTCATGCTATGCACATAGCATGACCAACTGCATCCACTCAACTCCCTGATCCTCATAGTATGCTGAACCACATACACTTCTCTCTCATGCACATGGTACGATGAACTAAGCAGGTACCTCGGCAAACTATTCGATTCTCTCTCTGGCAACAAAACAAAGTACGATGAACTATGCACGTAAACGTGGATGAACTATGTGCTTCTCTCTCATGCTATGCATATAGTACGATGAACTATAAGCACTGCTTACTCACTTATCCACATAGTACCATGAAGGCTATGCAGGTACATGGGCGAACTACGTGCTTCGCAACCCGTGCCTTCCTTTTGGGCCCACACAAGGTCCCACAAGGTCCCTAGCTGAACTGTCCCCCCAGCATATCCTCACGCTAACTTTCGGTCCTGCGCCTGGCTGTCTCTGTGTCTCTACCTTGTCGCTGTTCAAAGCGCAGCCACAGACACACAGCCACACAGAGCTAGAACGAGGACCCAGACGCGGACTCAGGCAGCGATTTATGCGGTTCATTGCAGTACAATTCACTGATGCATGGGACTTCTGCGCGAGGAGTTAAGTGTTTACCTGGTTTTGCCACCATCAACAATCGTCACTACCGAGAATTTTTTCGACATTATCGCCCACTTGTTTAACAACCGATCCTCGGTGCCGAACATCGCCCCTGGCCTTAGAATGGTTGCCTGCAAAAAATAAAAACAAAAGAGACGAGCATCACGGACAGCGAAGTCCGATGCAACTCCGTGAAAACCATATTTGGCGCAACGTAAATCTCTCGGAGATGGCCACCGCATCCAAAGAAGGCAGCAGGCTGCCGGGCATGTAACCGACACACCATCAATTCAAAGTTTGTAAATTACCTACACGCCATTCACTGTGGCGTTGACCAATCCATGGGTCGGTGGGGGCTCTTCACACGCCCAGCCGGGCGCCTTGCCAGGGGGGACGGGGGACGGGGGCTCGGGGGGGGGGGAGGGAGGGAGAGAGAGGAGGGTCTTCTGCCTGGGTCAACCCCGCGATGCAAGAACTCTGAGATGTAATACTCCTCTCTCTCTCTCTCTCTCTTTCTCTCTCTCTCTCTCATGCCACGGCCCATCTCCCACTCCCTTCACCTTGCTCCTCCTCTACCACTTACCTCTCTCCACCTCTCTCTCTCTCTCAGACATGAACAAGAGATCAGCACACACACTGGAGAATGAGAGACAGAGGAGGAGACATTACTATCTCCGCACAAAAGTGTTCGGCATTTTTAAAATTGCATGCCAATCATTAACAAGCACGAGAGAGGATGAAAGACAGCATCAAGTCACCAAAAAACAGCTGCGGCACTATAAGCTCTCAAGCATTCGAAGAAGTCACAGAACTCTGCCAATTTGTTTCCGTCACCGGATTTCCATTGGTGACCATAGTGACTATGAGTTTCTGCAGCTTCGACACACACAACAAGAATCCCATAACAGAGACAAACCACAGCAGCACACACATATATACATAGTACATACCTACCTTGTACTGCACCCTGCCCAGATGGGTGGGTACTCTACCCTCCCCAGACGGGTGGGTACTCTACCCTGCCCAGATGGGTGGGTACTCTACCCTCCCCAGATGGGTGGGTACTCTACCCTGCCCAGATGGCAGAATGGCACACACATGTAACGGTTACCTAATAGATCATGAGTTTGAACCCTGATTGAATGAATACAATACAGTGAAGGTTAGGAGCTACCCCACCCCTTCCTCCCCCCCCACTATTAGAAGAAAGAAAGGACCAAAAAAAAGACCGACTTGCCTTGTCATACTCAGCATGCACAGCCTCCTCTCCGGCAGCCATGGCTTGGTGACGCCTAGAAGGAGACGACTTGGACGCTCCCAAGCAAGTGACATGCACAAGCCGCTCAATGCCTCCATGTTCTTTAACCAACTGCAAACGACGGGTCCACGAGCACAAATCCACTTCAATCAAACAAATATTTACTTCAGGTGCTCAGCACCAAAGCTCGTTATTATTATGTTGCAAAAAAAAAAAAATCTCTTTCTTTCTTTTTTCATAGACGTGAAGGCCTTTAGATATCATCATATCACCATTGAACTGACCGGCCCCCAGGAATTCAGAATTTCAGAATGATTTAATTGAAATTAATTCTGGCCATCTGATTGTCTGGACTCCAACTTGGGTCTGTCTTTCACCAGCTCATGAGTGTACCTACTAAGCTAGGCCCGTTGGTATTATGTTGAAATTTTAAAACGAGAAAATTTTAAATTGTTGAAATCAGTGTTGCACACCCCGACCGTCGGCAACCCTTGACTGGTCAGCTGCCGACCCGCCGACCGGCCGGCCGGTCGGCACCTACCGGT